CACTTGCATGACTGTTCATTGTTCTGTTCTTTGTTCCACTGTGATAAACTCTGTTCCTCTTCACTTAAAAAAAAAAATGGAAACCATACGCTTTGGCAGCCTGCAGTTGAGCATTGAAGAACCAGTAGTGAAGAAGTAACGAAGAAGATTGAGGGCAGAGCGGAGTATGTGATCTCTGTGGACTTCAGTAAGGTGTTCGACAAGGTTCCTGATGGTAGACTAGTTAGCAAGGTTAGATCATATGGAATACGGGGAGAACTTTCTATTTAAATACAGAACTGGCTTAAAGGTAGAAGACAGAGGGCAGTGGTGGAGGGCTGCTTTTCAGACTGGAGGCCTGTGACCAGCAGTGTGCCACAAGGATCAGTGCTGTGTCCACTGCTTTTTACCATTTATATAAGTGATTTGGTTGTGAACATAGGAGATATGGTTAGTAAGTTTTCAGATGACACCAAAATTGAAGGTGTAGTGGACAGCGAAGAAGATTACTTCAGAGTACAATGGGATCTTGATCAGACGAGCCAATGGCCCAAGGAGTGGCAGATGGTGTTTAATTTAGATAAATGAGCTGCTGCATTTTGGAAAGGCAAATCAGGGCAGGACTCCTACACCTGATGGTAATGTTCTGGGGAGTGTTGCTGAACAAAGAGACCTCTGAGTACAGGTTCATAGTTCCTTGAAAGTGGAGTTGCAGGTAGATAGGATAATGAAGAAGGTGTTTGGTATGTTTGCCTTTATTGGTCAGTGCATTGAGTATAGAAGTTGGGAGGTCATGTGACTGTACAGAACATTGGTTAGGCCACTTTGGAATACTGCATACAGTTCTGGTCTCCCTGCTATAGGAAGGATGTTGTGAAACTAGAAAAGGTTCAGAAAAGATTTACAAGGATGTTGCCAGGGTTGGCATGTTTGAGCTATTGCGAGAGGCTGAATAGGCTCGGGATGTTTGCCCTGGAGCATCGCAGGCTGAGGGGTGCCCTTACAGAGGTTTATAAAATCACAAGGGGCATGGATAAGATGAATAGATAGGGATTTTTCCCAGGTGTTGGGGGGAGTCTGAAACTAGAGGACATAGGTTTAGGGTGAGAGGGGAAAGATATAAAAGGAACTTGAGGCAACTTTTTCACAGAGTGGTGCGTATATGGAATGAGCTGCCAAAGGAAGTGGTGGAGGCTGGTACAATTATAAAATCTAAAGGCATCTGGATGGGTATATGAATAGGAAGGGTTTAAAGGTATATGGGCCAAATGCTGGCAAATGGGACTAGATTTATATAGGATATCTGGTCGGCATGGACGAGTTGGACCGTAGAGTCTGTTTCTGTGCTGTACATCTCTGACTCTGTAGCCAATGCATTAAAAAGCAATGGAAACTGTAGAGGCTGCATCCAAGTACTCAAGTAGTTGAGCACTACAAAGTAAGCTAAAAGCTGTAACTCGCATCCAGTTTGGATTGAAGAACTGTATGTCTCCGCATACACTGCAATCTGGTAAATGCATATAACCGCAGAATGCCCCTGAACTTCAATACGTAGTCCTGAAATGCTGAATTGGTAAGAGTTGGACCAAGAGCTGGTGTGATGATGAATGGAGTATGGTGGTTTGCCCATGCTGACTTACATGTACAATGGCTGGAGGAAGATGTTGCCCATGGTGCATGCAAAGACATTTTGGTGAAGACCGAGTTAGATCAAGGCAGGAACAAGGAATTGTTGCAGCCATAGGTAACTGCTGTGACCTGAGAGTTGGGGCAAAGCTTAAGGGAAGAATTAGGGATTTTTTTCTCGATGTTGTGATTCCTAATTTTTGTTTTTCATTTCAATGTATTTTCCCAACATTCTGACCATTGCCTATGCTACCCAGGGACACAACAATTCTACCCATAGTTCTACTGTCAATCCCTTCAGAAGCATGTATGGTTGGATGAAATCTCCACTAATTTTCGTAAACCCCTAGCTTACTCTGCCTTGCCATATGGCAACCTTCTCAAATTGGATACCAACCTTTGTGGTACTGTTTCCAATACATGTGTAGCCTTTCTTAAATAGTATGACCAAATGGCACACAATATTCAGGGCGTGGTCTTGTCATACTCTGTAGCAATACTTCTTTATTCTTGTGCTATCATCCCCTTGCAGTAAAAGCTAACATACCATTTGAACAGCAAAATATAAGAAATAGGAGCCAGAGTGGGCTGTTGAGCAGGCATCTTGAGCCTGCGCCACCATTCGTTAAAATCATTGCTCATCTGATTGTGGCCTGAACTATAGTTTATTTTCTGGTCGCCGTAATTATTGACTTCCAGTTGCAAATATGACCTTTTTAAAGTAAAGTGACCAAAGCTGTACACGTCACACTTTGGGGACCCAGCAATAACCCTTATTGTAAAACGAAGACTGCACAATTTTTTACTTCCTTTCCTTTGCGGTAAAGGCCCATTCCATTTGTTTTCCTAATTATTTGCTGTATCTACGTGCTGACGTTTTGTAATTCATGTCTGAAAGCATCCAGCTGTCTCTGAACTGAAGCATTCAGTATCTCTCCATCCAAATAGTTTACTCTGATTTTCTATTCTTCTTGCCAAAATCAGCAACCAGGTTCCATCTTCCAAAATTTTGCCAAGTCATTTAATCTATCTTTCACCCTTTGCAGAGTACTAATTTTCTTCCTACCTACGTTTATGTTGCCAGCAAATTTGGCTACAACCCCAGTGGTTACTTCATCCAAGTCATTAATGTAGATCGCAAACAAAACTTCCCTAGTTACAACTCACCAGCTTGGAAAATGTCTCTTTATCCCCATTCTTATCTTTCTGTCTATCATCCAATCCACTGCTCTTGCTAATATATCACTTCCAACTCTATTAGTATTTGCTTTGTCTATTACCATATTTTATGACAGTTTATCACCTGCTTTCCAGAACTCCAAATGCACTACACCTATTGCTTCCCCTGCATCCATTATATTAGTTAAAGCATAAAGCAACTACTAAATTTATCAGAGATAACAGTGTGGAGCTGGAGGAACACAGCAGGCCAGGCAGCATCAGAGGAGCAGGAAAGTTGAGATTTCGAGTCAGGATCATTCTGAAGAAGGGTCCCGACCCGAAGTGTCAACTTTCCTCCTCCTCTGATGATGCCTGGCCTGCTGTGTTCCTCCACCTCCACACTGTGTTATCTCTGACTCCAACATCAGCAGTTATTAGTATCTCCTACTAAATTTATCAAACAATTTCACTTCTGTCAAACAATGTACAGTGCTTCTAATCATCCTATGGTTTTCTAAGTGTATTGTTAAGACTTTCTGAATAGATTACAACAGGTTCTTGGCAACTGATGTTAGGCTAACTGGCTTGTAGGTTTCTTGTTTTCTCTTTCCCTCCTTTCTTGAATAATAGTGTTAGATATATGTTTCAACCTGCTGGTATCACAGCGGAATGGATTGGAGAATCTTTCAGTATATCTGTGTAGCTCCCTTTTTAGAATTCAAGGATGCTGCCACCAGGTCTTAGGCATTTGTCACATTTTAGTTCAAGCTACTCCAATGCTTCATTATCTTAAATTCTTCACTCTTGGCTGCAGATTGCCATCTTATTTCTGGTATGTAACTTGTATTTTCTACTATGAAGACTTTTGCAAAGTATTTGTTCACTGTGCAGTTTTCTTATTCCCTTATGGTAATTGTTTCTGCTTCTAAAGGGCTAATGTTTAGCTACATTTTCTGTAATATACTTGTCAAAATTCTTGCAATCTATTTTTATACTTATGGCTAGTTTGAACTCATTTTTTTCCCCTTTTTATCAAATTCTTGGTGGGTGGGCTTCTGATTTTTCAAATAATTGCAATTCTTAGGCGTAGTATTCTTTGCAAGATAATAAGTCTCTATTAAATGAGCACTATCCCTTACCTGTCGTTTTTCTTGCTGAACATTTTTTAAATGGAATATAATTTGCTGAAGTTTCTTAATCAGTTCAGCCAAACTTCTCTGCTTTTTGGTTACACTCCTTCAAACAGTACTAATTTGCATTTATTGTGGCTTTGTTCACCTGATATACTACTATCAGTAGTTTGTGAATCTTTGTTGCCAGACATCATTGCTTTTCTAACAAATTTAGACTCCATGTACTTCAGGTTCTGTTACCAAATAATTATATAAATTGTAACTACTGGAGCAGGACTACTTTTCTGCACTAAGGGTTAGGGTTAAAGCAGTCTGAGTACCCACCTGTAATCCTCCTCTGATATGTTTTGAGGTAGCTTTGCTGTTCGTTTTGCAACTTGTCACCTGATTTCCAATGTAGTGACTTTAGTCAAATCTACTCTGCAATATTTTTTTCAAAGGCCTTTTGGCACAAAAAGTGGGGAAAATGAATGATTTTCTACATTCAATTCAAGAATGCTTGTAATTTTTGGTAAATTTAACAAGTTTAATCCAGCACAAACAAAGTTGCTGGAAAAGCTCAGCAGGTCTGGCAGCATCTGTTTTCTCCTCCACAGATGCTGCCAGAGCTGCTGAGCTTTTCCAGAACTTTGTTTTTGTTCCTGATTTACAGCATCTGTAGTTCTTTTGATTTTTATTAAGTTTAATCCAGCATCCTTTTATAATATAAAGTTGTGAAGGGAAGAGTGGATACATGTTGTCAAGGGCGATGCATCTTCAAGATGCATGTATTAGAATCAGATTTTATGGAAATTTGTTTCAGATTAATGTGAGACAAAGCAATGGATTAAAAATAAACTGCTTTTAATATCAGTACATATTATAGTTTTTGAAATGTAAACATGTGCTTATAGCATGTAAAAGCGTCTGTTGTAGATTGTAGCCAGCTGCTCAATTTTTAGATCTGAAACATTGTTTGCTGTAATTGTTGCCGATCTGTGGAAAAAATACTACCAGGGCAGATGCCATCACAATTTTTTCCAACAGCAAAAAGCCCTTGGTGTAATTTAAATAACATTTATGGAAAATTGAAGCATCTCTCCTTTTGGTCTTTTGGAACAGGATATAGCAGATCCATTTTTTGCATATTGCAAACAACATGCTGACAAGTTTGACAGAAAATGGAAACGAAAGAACTATTTGGCTTTGCAATCATACTGTAAAATGACTTTGCAAGAGCGAGACAAACATGTTACCCCCGAAGCACAGGTATGAGTTACAGAACTTTACCAAATTGCTTAGTAATATTTTTGTATGAAAGATCAATAGCAATGTAAGTGATATGAAACAAAAATGAATTTATTTGCAGCATGTCAGTATCTTAACATTTCATATTTATAATAATAAAATGTTATACAAGATATCGCAAATATTCCCTTTAATTCTGAGTGCATGATTAATATTTACCCCAACATCTTGCAATGTTGTAGCTGTTGTTTAGAAGGCATTTGCCTTGTAGTCATTTGCTCCAAAATCTAAAAGATAAGTATTATTATGATCCTGTTGAAGACCCCTAAAGTTTAATGAGAACGCCAAAGAGCGCTATGTAACTGACAAAACTAATCCACAAGATTGGATGTTTTTAAGGATTAACTAACTTTATTGAATATACAACTTAAATAAGACAAGCACCATCAACTTAACAGTATGGTCTGTAATTGCTTATTATGCATTCAATTCTACTGTTTACTTCCTCACAAGAAGTTCCTTGTTTGTTACAACAATCTTGAAAGCTTATTCACTTCTTTAAGGACTACCCGCAAGATATGCTACAGTTCAATGGAATGTACATTAGTTCTGCTCAGTATTCCAGTTGTTCTCTGAGATAATATTGTGTAAGGATCCTTCCATTACCATTTGTTGAAGTAAGATTCTTCCTTTTGTTTAATGCCACACAAATGGGGAGCACTTTGCTTCAGAGGCGGTCTTACTCTTCAGATTAAATAATTTAAAATTAGTCTGTGATCAAGGATAGATGGGTTTGACTGCAGGTGAGGTTTATGAAAACCCAGAGGGTTAAAAGTTAAGAGCCTTGGCCCCTGCAGTTGTATAAACAGTTATAAGGCTCTTGCAAGTTGTGTAGACGGAAGTGGGAACTGTGGTGGGGATGATGAGCAAACTGACCACAGCACTTTCAGGTGAGGGATGGAAATAGGAATGTAATTGGAGTAGGGGACAGCATAATTAGAGGGACAGATTCTATTCTCTGCAGCTGTAAGGTGGAGTC